TAAATCGAAGTTACTAAACCAAGAATCATACATTAAAAGACCCCTACAATGAAATATTTATCCGCTATCCGGAGCAAGTTGCATCTCTGTTGCAGAGATGCCAACTGCTCCGGACACGCCAAAATAATAATAAAAAAAGCGGTAAATAACTACAAATTAAATTTTGCAATTGTTTGACTATTTTTGTTTGCGTTTTAAAAGGTATAGCGTGACATAATTACTATAAATTGGTGACTTATATAAGCCTACGAATTATTTAGAAATAGCGGTGGATAAAAATCTACTAAATTGAATTTATTAAACTAAGAATCACAATTGATAAACTATCACTTTAAAATATTTATTTGCTGTCCGGAACAAGTTGGCATCTTTGCTGTTGGCCTACAATTTGAATAATCAAATCAAAATTAATAATGAACAATCAATTGTTTTTGCAAAACTTTTGTATCGAATTAAGTATTGTAAAGTACTTTGATTTTAAGAATACTAAATTTAAGTTTCTCGGGGAGAAATAAATTGAAANTCAGTGCGTCAAGGGGTTAAGGTCCAAATTCTACATACAGACGTATACTAACACAGCGATGTCAACTGCTCCGGATTCAACAAAATATTTTAAACGGTAGAAACTGCAAACTTAAACGTCGCAGATTTTCAATGAATGTTGCCAGCTTTTTAAAAGGCTCAACACGGCTAACTGTACAGGGTTCCCGCTGTCTTTGAAATAGTTTAGTAATGGTAGCAAATTAAGATTAATGCCAAAAGATATTTCTTATTTTAACATACCACTTTGCCATTGCGTGGCTTAGAAACTGGAATTTTCATGCATATACTTTCTTTAGGAAACAATTATTAGTGATGGTTATTCAGAAATTGAATTTTCGACACTTGTTTAATTTTCGTTACCTTTTTTTTAAAATTTACAAGGCCTGCGGGAACCTTGCTGGAACAAAGTGCAGAGATGCCAACTTGCTCCAGACAGCAAATAAATGTTTTAAAGTGGTAGCTTATCAATTGTGATTCTTGGTTTAATAAATTCAATTTAGTAGATTTTTATCCATCACTATTTCTAAATAATTCGTAGGCTTATATAATTCACCACTTTATAATGCTTATGTCATGCTATACCTCTTAAAAAGCAAGGAAAAATAGTCAAATATTTGCAAAATTTACTTTGTAGTTATTTACCGTTTTTTAAAATATTTTGGAGCGTCCGGAGCAGTTGGCATCTCTGAAAGTGGCTTACTACATAAGCCTTTGAATTATTTAGAAGTAGTGGTGGGTAAAAACCCTATAAAAATCGAATTTACTAAATCAAGAACCATACATTAAAAGACCCCCCACGATGAAATACTTATCCGCTGTCCGGTGCAAGTTGCATCTCTGCTGCAGAGATGCCAACTGCTCCGGACACGCCAAAATAATAAAAAAAGCGGTAAATAACAACAAATTAAACTTTGCAATTGTTTGACTGTTTTTGTTTGCGTTTTAAAAGGTATAGCGTGACATAATTACGATAAAGTGGTGAATTATAAAAGCCTACAAATTATTTAGAAATAGTGGTGGATAAAAATCTACTAAATTGAGTTTATGAAACTAAGAATCACAATTGATAAACTACCACTTTAAAATATTTATTTGCTGTCCGGAGCAAGTTGGCATCTTTGCTGTTGGCATACAATTTGAATAATCAAATCAAAATTAATAACGAACAAGCAATTGTTTTTGCAAAACTTTTGTATCGAATTAAGTATTGTAAAGTACTTTGATTTTAAGAATACTAAATTTAAGTCTCTCGGGGAGAAATAAATTAAAAAGAAAATTATCTACATTGACTTTTCTTCTTCTTTAATACATGATAAATATATGTTGAATGTATATGATATTACTGCTTTAGCATTGTTTTCTACACATATACTGTATAAAAGTACGCGATATTATATGTATTTCTTAAATTTCAAATACTGATCCAATTCACTTAAAATATATTTGATTTCATTCAATCACTCACATCATCGCCAATATAGGTAATATACTCAACAACCAAGTATCTAATATGGGACTATATATGTATGCACGGCTATATCCTACGATCATTATAACTGAACATTAAACACAAATTAACTCTGAGCTCGGAATATATAATTCAGCAGGAAATAATGCCCGACTCGGAACCGCTGTCTGCAGGACGACATGACAGAACTAGGCCTGGATGTTTAAATGTAATTTGCGACTTTATACTGATTAGAATAAGGGCATTTGAATATTATCTAACCCAGTTAGCTGAATCAGGACATTTGAATATTCCTTGCAAACTCAAATGCTAAGCTAGTATTTACTCACACTGTTCAGGGATGGCTAGTTTTAGTATTAACTGTGATTAAGAGCTGAATTATTGACAAAGCCTCTTCGTTATCATAATTCGTGTGTACTTCGCTCATCAAAGCTTCGTAATGTTTCTGTCTCTTTTTTTATGAAATGAGTTTTTACTATAGTGGCTGCTTAGATTCTTTTGGAGAGTATCAAAGGATTCTAACTACCATTTTCTAAACGAATTAGGTTAAAATTATAACTTAAATCTTTTTTTACATAACTAGTAAAAAAATGGAAATTTTCAGTTGGGGATTCTGATATGTGGTTAGTTAACTCTTTACATGCTGAATAGTATCCAGAATCAAATCATTTATAATTGGAAATGTCACACACTATAAAAACATTCCAGTCTATTTTACAGACTTTCTCTAAATAATTGACAGTTTAAAACTGTTTTGTTGACAAAACCTTTTTTCATCCCAGTCATATAAACGGATTCAAACTATCAGTTCAAAATTCCCGTCTTTTTAACAGATTTTCTCTAAGTAATTGACGGTTTAAAACTGTTTTGTTGACGAAACCGTTTTTCTCTTTTTTTCATCCTAGTCATATAAACGGATTCAAACTATCAGTTCAAAATTCCCGTCTTTTTTACAGACTTTCTCTAAATAACTGACGGTTTAAAACTGTTTTGTTGACGAAACCGTTTTTCTCTTCTTTTCATCCTAGTCATATAAACGGATTCATTCCCGTCTTTTTTACAGACTTTCTCTAAAGAATTGACGGTTTAAAACTGTTTTGTCGATAAAACCGTTTTTCTCTTTTTCTTTCATCCTAGTCATATAAACGGATTCAAAGTATCAGTTCAAAACTCCCATCTTTTTTACAGAATTTCTCTAAATAACTGACGGCTTAAAACTGTTTTGTTGACAAAACTGTTTTTCTCTTTTTTCATCCTAGTCATATAAGCAGATTAAAACTATCGGCTCTAAATTCCCGTCTTTTTTACAGACTTTCTCTAAATAATTGACGGTTTGAAACTGATTTGTTAACAAAACCGTTTTTCTCTTTTTTTTCATCCTAGTCATATAAACGGATTCAAAGTATCAGTTCAAAATTCCCGTATTTTTTACAGTCTTTCTCTAAATAATTGACGGCTTAAAACTGTTTTCTTGACAAAACTATTTTTATCTGTTTTTCGTCCTAGTCACATAAACGGATTGAAACTATCGGTTCAAAATTCCCGTCTTTTTTACAGACTTTCTCTACATAATTGACGGTTTAAAACTGTTTTGTTGACAAAACCGTTTTTCTCTTTTTTTTCATCCTTGTCATATAAACGGATTAAAGCTATCAGTTCAAAATTCCCGTCTTTTTTACAGACTTTCTCTAAATAATTGACCGTTTAAAACTGTTTTGTTGACAAAACCGTTTTTCTCTTTTTTTCATCCTAGTTTTTGCTATGCAGTTTTGCTTAACGTACACTCAACTTTTTTCAAATAATTTTACGATTATTTACTCAACTTGCTCTTATTTTACAGCAATTATTTTATGGTTTTAAACATCGTATAAATAAGTTGATACTCTACCTGATTATTATATTTCGCTAGATATAATTTTTTTTTAAAGTTGCCAGACATTTTTCGATCGGTGGGAGCACTATAGTTTCAAACGTTTTTGCATTTAAATGTTATTTCAACAAGTAAAACTTTTAAGACAAAAAAAAATAGTTAACTATTTTTCCTAATAATGGAGCACTAAAGGCTTTTCAGGACGGAGCTCTCACCTTCAAATGAGATAACCCATCGTCAACTTGTCGTACGAATTCTGATCGCGGCTCTCACCGATTACAACTCTGAAATAGTTTTTAGTAATTTTTTTTTTAAAATAACAAGTTTTTTGCTACAATAGAGGTTTGTTAAAATAACAGAGTAAAATAGCGAAGTTTGTTTGTTAAGATTACAGTACTTATCTTCTTCAAAAACAGGCGTCTGTTTTTAAATAACAGTATTTTTGTGTGAAATTAACGGTTTTATTCTGGCACAACAGTTGCCAATTTTTTACGTAAATTTAGCTTTTTTTTACAGTTAAGATAGATTATTCCCCATTGAGTCCAGATGATTTGAACATTTAACTTCCTCTTGGGATCATAGCCGGAAATGGTTTAAGAGCAAAAAATCTAAAACGTATTTTTTTTCTGAATACAAATACATTTAATTCGATTAATTTTGTTTCTTGACCTTCAAAGTGCTTTAGGTGTAGTCTTTACCTGAAACAGGGGGCTCAAGAGTTTAGTCAAAAAGACATTCTAGAGTTCGAACCTCGAAACTGAATTTTTTCATTCTGCCTTTTTGGACGTCACTCTAAATTTATTTTGACAAGTTCAAATATTTTTGTATAAAACTCTAAAATTCTGTTATCTGAAGACAAAAAATAATTGAAAATTGTTACAATTTAGTTTTTAAAACTACTTTTTATAATTTAATTTAGCAATGATTAGAACACTTTTTAACGATGAGATATATACAGGCTTTTGACAACATGTACGTACGTGGGTCATTCCAAAAATACATATCACTTTTGATAAACAGAAAATCAAAAAAAAAATTTTTTTTTATAAAACCAAAATGCATTTAAGGTGGTTAATTATATATTCAAAAATCAAAATCAAGCTTTAGCAGCGAACTTTTAAAAAATTATTAATCACTATACTTTAAAACTTAAACATATAAACTGAAAAATGTCTCCTGTGTTACCAAAATTTAAACTATCATCCCATATTTAAATAGAAAAATAAATAAGCAATTTTGCATTGGTTAAACTTAGAGGCGAATGTTCTTTTCTACAGATGAAGTTTTTTTATTTATACATGTATATCTGTCATTAAATAAGCAAATTATGTCCCCTGTGTCACCATTTTAATATTTTTACAACGTAAAAGTTAGCATAATTTCATTAAAAATACATTGATTTGAGACATTTACAGAATTCATTACAGATACCTATTAGACATTAAATATTTCTTGTTATCCTTTTATTGAAAGTGTTTTCCTTTTTTTTGACGTAAACATACATGTCAGTAACACAGGGGACATATGGTAACACAGGGGACACTAAAGTAACAAAGTGGACATACATATTTAGCACCAAGAAGTAAACAATTTAAAACGTCTTATGATAGATTTTATTTTTCATAAACATCAACTGGGTCATCAAATTGATAGAAAATTCTATTTCCTTTCATTTTTAAATTAGGATTTTTCAGAATACCTAATACAGAATCAAACTGAATGTAAGATGCACCATTCTCTTTCACTTGAAAGTTTTTACCACTGTCATCTATTGTTTTTAAAAACATAACCTTAATATCACCATCATCTTCTACATCACCTTGTGCTATTCCAACATATTTATATTTAGATTTATTCTTTTTTCCTCCCAATATTTGAATGAGTAGATATGTGCCCGCCGTAATATTTTTGCAATTGGGTTCTCGTGTTTGATGTTTTAGATTGGATTCTTTTAACGAATATAAATTATCCTCATCAGTAAGAATAGAATCATTGCTGCTTGATGAATAAATGTCAAAAACATTAAGTTTCTTATTATTATAAGGAAAATGTTTTTGTGTTACTGAGCTAAAAGTTTTCTGGTCCTGTTTTATTTCTGGATAGGCTGTAGTTATAAAATCTTTTGTGCCATAGCAATGACAAAATCCCCGTTGACTTAGTACTCCGCAAAAACAGCTAATATCTCTATAACGGAGATATCCACCCTTTTTTTCTACAATTAGCTGGTGTAAGGATCTTGTTCCTTTCAGCATAGGAATCTTTTCTGGAAGTGTTTTAGAAATTGCTTCAATTTCTTCTTCAGTGACGCAGAACAACTTTATCTCAGTGGATTTGCGCACACAATGAATAAACTGGTGTACATCCGTTATATCTGTTCCACATGCCACAATTCTATCAGCTATTCGCTTTAAGGTTCCACCGATTCCATCCGCTGCCCCTTTTCCATGCCCAGATTCAAAAAAGGACCATGTACCTCGCATAAAATCGTATTTGAAAAGCCTTTGACTGAATAAATAAAAATTATTTTTTTGTCTATATTGGGTGGAAGGACCATCAGAAAAAAAATGAAGAGTATCTATCTTAGGATCTGTTTCCTTAATCATTTTCAAAATGGGCGTTAAATGAGCCCATATGGCACTGGGGTTGTGCTTATAACTTGAGGAAACAGTGCTAAACGACACAGGTTTATTTTTTTCAATTCCACAGTATGTAAGACCAGTGTGTAAAGTTATTGAATTTTGTGATGCGCCGTAATGGTGGGCTTGTATTTCTTCTGATAATTTAAGGTTGTAATTTTCGCTGAAATCCACATGTATTGCAGCTTCATTAGGTTTCAGATTTTCAATACAGTCTCTGTAAGCTTCATATTGTTTTTGGATATTAAAAACATGTTTTTTGTAGAGGTCGAATTCTTTGATGAATTTGCTAGTTAGTGTAGAAACTGAAGAAGTCATAAACATTTTTGAAACCTTTTTAACACTTAGTTTCTTTCCCTCTTTTTCATACATCTCACTTTTATAATTCCATTCATTCCATTCTGCTTGTGCATCTGTATTTATTTCATTGAGAGGAACTTTCTTTCTGAAACAAGATGGACATGCTTTATACATGCAATCTTTTGAATCAGGGCTGCATACTGTCGCTTCAATTAGATCGCTAATGTTATTAGTTTGAATTATTTCTATTTTTTTAAGGGCAGTTATTTTAAATTTTACATTGCTGTGCAATTTGCATAAGCATGTGTTTCGTGTGTCAACTGAAGGTGACAAAACATAAAAGGGACGATTTGCAGCAAAAGAAGCATACGAGCACTTTCCACCTTCTTCAAGAAACTTTTTATGTAAGTTCTTTATTGTATCTAAAAGGTATCTTTTCTGATTCTTTTTTGAATACTTAGTTACAGTTTCCTTCTTTCCTGCAGTTGCTCTACTGATGTCATCTCTTATATAAAAATCTTGAATACTTTTATTTTTTATTGAATAGTTTTTTTGTTGAATGGCTTTGCGAATTTTGGATTTCAAACCTAAAGCTTCTGAAGCAATTTTTCTCATCAACCTGTACTTTTTTATCACTTTATTAGTCACAATATTCTTTAAAATTTTTTTCTTGTTTCTTTCTCGTAGACTTTTGTACTGTGATGACATGCAATGTGTTAGAGCATTGTATTTAAAAAGTTGTGTTGAAACATTTTGTATTTCAGGTGTATTAATTCCAGGAAAATTTGTTCTCATAAATTGTTTAGTTTTAGAGCGTGGAGTTAAATTACAATCTTCATATCTATTACTAATCTTTGCTCTATACACCCTTTTTCTTAATTTTTCTACCTTTTGCTTAATTTTTTTATTTTCTATTTTAAGATTTATGTTTTCCTTATAAAGTTTTGTTCTATCCCGCCTCATTTTTTTCCTTGCACTGCCAGTTAACTCTTTTTTTGCATTTGAAGTTAAAAGTGGTGAACTGTTTTGCTTTATGCGCTGTCTTTGTTTTGCTTTCTTTGTACGCCACTTTTTTCTTGCTAATCTATGTTCTCTTGCTGACATATCATTTGCCAATTTTTTTGTCTTATGATATCTATCACGAGCCTTTAACTTACATTCTTCTTCTTTATTTTTATCTAGTTTTCTTCTTTCTCTATAACGGCGTTGTTTCTCTGCAGCTGTTAATGGCATTATCTAAAAAAAGAACACAAAATTAAGAATAATCTCTCTATTATAGGAGTATAAAAAATATTTATGTAAGAATAGCTAAATAAAAACTTAATGGTCTTTTAAAGTTACACAACCAATTATTAGCTTAGAAATTCTGTTTTAAGTTTAAAAAAAAAAAATTTTGTTTCTTATATATAGATGTAAATTGTAATTATGCACAAAATTTATTGCCCAAGTCTAGGCCACTTAATAGCATAAAAAGGAATTTAAGTCTCCTGTGTTACTTTGTTATCCCCTGTGTTACCAACAACATGGTAACACAGGAGACAAGTAACACAGTGGACAAACTGAAATTTAAATTCTCTCAGAAGTTAATGTTTGTAGAGAAACATTACAAAGTTACATGGAACTTTTTTTAAAAAGTATTATTTATAATTTAAACATAATGGTAAAACCTCCCTACTGAGAGGGCGCTGTGAGCGCATCAAAAAACAGTGAACATGTAGACACGGAAGTGTCAAGTTGTATTAATCCTTTTTTCGTTATTAAATATTTGTTTCGTTATATTTGATTTGATTTCGCCGATGAATTATTTTGAACTATTGATATAAAACCACTGAACCTACCTTTATGTTGATTTGAACACGGAACACATAAAATAAACTAAAATTATTATTATTTATAGTAAAAGTTTAAGGTAACACAGGAGACATATAAAAAATACACCTTACCTCAAAAATCCTTAATTGTCCAATTTATTCTTCAAATTTCATTTCCTGAAAAAATGGCTGCCTAAAAAGAACACTAAAACCATAGGAGTGCATGAGTGGTTACTGTTGCCAACTTTTTTATAAGTATTTCTAGTTTAAATTTTAAAAATAAAATAGAGGTAACACAGGAGACAAATTTCTGGGACATACAAATTTTCTTTAAAAGAGATAAAAATACTGAAAACTAATTTTAAAAAAACAGCAAGGAATGATATTTAGAAACACTGGAAGATAGTAAGAACCCTGAATTTTAACTTAAAAGTCATATTATATAATATAAAAATAAAGAAAAATGCTAAATAAGTTGCTGGGACATTGCATTTTTCAGGATACAATTTTTCTAACCCAATTAGAACAAAAAAATTGCTAAGTAATTCACATTTTTAGAATCATATTAAAGGGAAAAAAATTTAAATTTATTATTTAATGATTAAATTTTGTTTTGGTACAAAATTATAAGANGGCTGGTATCTGATTCCGATATTAAACCCAGATCTTTCATAACACTCCATGCTATAGCAGCCGTGGCTCTGTTGAATACACCATATCTTTGACTGACAAGAACTGTCAAAATAGGGTTCAAACTAAGGTTGTTCTACTTTTTTTGGCAGAGCGCCAAATCCAGTCTGTCTCGATTGCGCATTGTGCAAGCAGTAAACAGTTATACAGAAAAGTACCAAAATGCGTCGAAATTTCCAAAATTAGATGCCGATGAGGCGGCAGAAGATATTAGCCTGTAATTCTAAAATTTATTATAGTTGTTGTTTTTAAAATATTGTAACTTTTAAGTGCTACCTCAAACCGATCAACGAAATCTGTGGTTATGCATTAATTTTTGTATTTTAATCATTTTTAGTCCAATTTTTGGAACTTTAGGCCCCTTGAGGCAACAGAAGATATCAACCCAGAGTTTTAAGATTCCGCTCCTTTTTTAATAATAGGAATTCACATCTTTTCCGCACTACCGCAGAAAGATATAAGAAATTTCGATTTTTTCGATACGCCCTAATATATATATATTTAAGTTGCCAGACATTTTTCGACCGGTGGGGCCACTATAGTTTCAAACGTTTTTACATTTAAATGTTATTTCAATAAGTAAAACTTTTAAGATACAAAATAATAGTTAAATATTTTTCCTAATAATGGAACAAACACTAAAGCTTTTCAAGACCAGCGCTCGCCTTCGAATGAGATAACCCATCGTCGACTGGTCGAATTCTGATCGCGGCTCTCCCCGACTACAATGCTGAAAGAGTTTTTAGTAATTGTTGGTTAAAATAACAAGTTTTTTGCTACTATAGAGGCTTGTTAAAATAACAGAGTAAAATAACGAAGTTTGTTTGTTAAGATTACAGTACTTATCTTCTTCAAAAACAGGCGTCTGTTTTTAAATAACAGTATTTTTGTGTGAAATTAACGGTTTTATTCTGGCACATTAGTTGCCAATTTTTTTACGTAACTATAGCATTTTTTTACAGTTAAGATAAATTATTCCCCATTGACGTAATTTGAACATTTAACTTCCTCTTGGGATCATAGCTGGAAATGGCTCAAGATTACAAAATCTAAAACATTTTTTTTCTTTCTGAATATGCATACATTTAATTCGATGAATTTTGTTTCTTGACTTTCAAAGTACTTTATGTGTAGCCTTTATCTGATACAGGGGAGCTCAAGAGTTTAGTCAAAAAGACGTTCAAAAGTTCAGGCCTCGAAACTGAATTTTTACATTCTGCCTTTCTGAACATATCTCTAAATTTTTTTTGATAAGTTTAAATATTTTTGAATAAAATTCGAAAATTCTGTTATCCAAAGACAAAAAATAATGTGCTTATAATTAATTCTTATAGTTTAATTTAACAATGACTAAAGCACTTTTTAACGATAAGGTATACAGGCTTTTGACATCATACGTACGTACATTTACTAAATTGTAACAATTTAAATGTGAATATCCAAAATTTAGATGAAATCAATTTAATAATTCCTTAGAAATAATAATTTAAAAAGTACTATATTTAATAAGAAAAATCTTTTATTTAAATTATTTCTCAGAAACTATTGAACATATTTATTTTAGTTTTTATATTTTTGCTTATAAAACTATTTTGTTTGACGTGATTTAAAAATTTAGATGCCCTTAGATTAAATATAATTTTAATCTTATAAAAACAAAAACAATCATTATATTAATAAAATATAAGTATTTTGTATAAATTATTTTTGTGAGAAGTTAAATCTGGACAAACGAGTTTTTCCAATAGTGCGCTGAATTGTATAACTTCGAGACGTTAGCTAAGGGAACATAAGACCTGCAAAAAACATTTTATGTGATTAATATGCTTCGTGCATGAAATATTTCATATTTTTTACCTTTTTCTTTCCGAAAACATATTAAGAACTCGTATATGTATCTTCTTTGTAAAATTATTTAAGAAAATAGTTTTTAAACGGAAAATACGCAATATCTTGTTGTTTCAACAGTATCTATTATACAAGGAACCTTAATATATATATTTATGACATATTTAAGTTTCTAACAAGTGTCTCAGATAAGATATCCTTTTAGTTATTTATATTAATGCGATCAGTTTTTCTTTCTTGCCCATCCGACACTTGTATAACACTTGTAGTCCAGGCATTACAGCTCAAAAATAGACGTTACCCGTAAAAATTGATTCGGGTGTTTATTTTTTGTACATTCATGATTTTGGGGGTGCTGATCACGAATCTGCAGTTACCACAAAAAAATTTCCAGTAAATATGTTTTTTTCCTGTAAAAAAAACTGGAAAACTCCTGTATTTTGGTTAAACATTCTTTGTGGTTTAAGATAGAAAACTTCTGATGGTCTGAAAACTAGAGAAAACATCTCACGAATTCTTTGCCTACAGTATGCCCTCAGGGTATTTAGATCATGAGTATTGAAATAATGACTGAAGCATTTGAATAACGTCTCTCTCAGTATAAGAGAATAATTAATAGAGGTCTGAAATTTGCAAAAAAGTCTCTACTGGTTCTAGGAATATATAGAAGAATAAATATTTTCCCCTCCTGAGGGGAGAACTCCTTTACTCCCCCTTACCTAATAATCGTATTGCTTCCTAAACCTAAAAAGAAATGCCCTTAGAAAGTTTTGAGTTTTAGAGATGGGCACTCGTAGAAGAAACTATTTTTGCTATTTATAAATAATAAAAAAAATTTGAGAAACCTCACTTTCCAAACTTTATTTTCGAGAAAATTGAAAAAAAAAAGTGAGCAAAATTCGTAGTTTTAGGAAAGTTCTTATGAAAATTGTGATTATTCGCTAAGTGTGGGGGTTAAGGGTTAAACCCTCTTCGCAGAGTCAGGGAATAAATTGAGGAGGATAGGTAAACTTACATGAGTGTTGTTGGAAGTTTAAATTGAATAAATATTAAAATAGATAAGCAAAAACTCAAAAATGGAAATGATGAAGGTTTGGGAAAATTATAGTTATTGAAGGGTAGAGAGAAAATACTCCCTGTAGGGGTGAACATATTTTTTATGTATTGCTAGATCCCACAAAATAGCTTTTTTTTTTTAGATTTCAAACTCCTATTGATTATTCTCCTCTTTCTTTTCTTCATTAAAATGCTGAGAGAAACGCTATTATTCCTACTCCTAATTCTTTTATTCATTACCCCAAGGAAACATTGCAGGTATATAATTTGTGGAAAATTTTCTCAAAATTTCAAATATGCTATCAGAAATTTTATATCTTAAACCAAAAAAAAAAATATTTCCAAAAAACAAACTGAGTTTTTCAGTTTTTCTTGGGAAAAAAATAGTACACAGAAAAAAATTTAGGACACAAAATGCGAATTCGTGTTCAGAACCACAAAAAACATAACTGTACAAAAATATTGCCCTTTTTTCCAGGTGAAATAATCAATTTCCTGGACTATTGCCATCGAAGTTGAAAATAACATGAAAACTTAATTCCCTTTTTGTCTTGGAAAACAAAGACCATGGTATTCTAATCGATGAGAGGGCTTTGCAAATTCTTCTAGAGCAATCATCATTAGATGCTAATACTTTTAAGATTACAACCATGACAAAATTATCCGTACCTCCAAAAAAACAACCAACCATTCCAAAGTGGATACGTGACGCGATATTCAATACCCTAAACCTGCGGTCGAGAATCTTTCTACTCCGTATCACATTAGGATATAGATCACACTTATCAGATAGATATCAGAGAGAACGCCAAGAAGAAATAAAAGTGGACGCCAAGAGCGTGTCCAGCGTCACAAAAATTCGCCAGCTCCTCGTACCCTTATGACCAAATAAATAGAATCAAAAGAATAGGGGGGAAAATTGCGAGAGAAAATAGTACAAGCTGGCCGTGAGTAACGGTAATGACCAATACGTGATTCTTGAAAGATTTGGGAGAGAAAAGGGAAAATTTTTCTTTCTTATTTACGGTCACCAGATACGTGATAAATTGGTCAAATAATAAGTAAGGGCTAACGGAGATTAAGGTGTTCAACAAGTATGAAAGTGTATCGATTTAAGATGTAATCTAGGATGATGTTCCTAATCTTCGTTTTACCTCTTGTCAACATTGTTTTTTTTTTCTCTATTGAAATGCAATGCTTCTGTAGCTTATAATGAATGATTATAAAAATACGAAAAAAATATTTTGCACTGTTTAACATTATTGTTGCAAGATTCTAAAATGTACGTATCGACTAGAAGCCGCAAAACTTTGCGGAAATTAACACTTTTAAGTGCAGAAAGTGAAAAAAAAATTCGGTTGAATTTAATCCACTAATTTAATTTTTTCTGCTAATTAAATTTTTTTTACTCGTTATTCGATTTTACTTCAATTTTTCTATATTAATAAGAATTTATCTTCATTGCTGAAAAAAAACCAATGTTGGCGAGCTTTGAATATCGCTGTAGATTGTTTACATTTGAATATGACTTCGCGTGAGCAAATGGAAATCCTCGACACTGCTATGCATCAACTTTCAACCAAAACAAGAAGTAGACTTTAAAATATATGTTTGAATAAGTTGTGTAATTGGAATAATAATATTTTACTATTTAAATCTCTGTCAACTGTATCAAGTCGTTTTATCTTGTATAATTTCTATCGGCTTCCGTTGTGCTAAACTTATTTTGTACTCGCCTTTATATTATCTCTGGTCTACGCTCATGTTTAATTACAAGCAAATTTTATTTTAAGAATAATGTATGTATATGCATTCCAAATTAATGATTCATAGCTAATATTGCATCGTAAAAATAACTTTGACTCTTATGCGTATCATATCTTACTATTGTAAATCTTAATGCTTCTGAATACAACAAAAAATTATGACACCAAACCAAATCCATTCCACCCCAAATAGTGTATAAGAATATTCTTGGGTTAGCGCAGCACTATTTTGGTGCAAAGTAGTTTCCTCTATTCTTGGTTT